AAATGAGGGGGGCCCCAAAACACCACCTCACACGGGGAAGAAATCATGCATATAATTTTACAATTTCGATTTCGCCATCTATTACCTATACCTATCAATTATATTTACAGCTGAATTCATGCAGTTTTGTGCTTATATTCGGGACATAGATGATGGCTTAAACGTTCATTTTTTTTTGAAGCAGATGGAAGAAAAAGACCTTTCCCAGGTTTTTCCAACCGTTAACATTATTTTGAGAATATATTTATCCATACCTATCACAAATTGCGAGGGTGAAAGGTCTTTTAGTACTCTAGCTTATATTAAAAACAAATATCGTTCTGCAATGGGGGATAATAGATTATCGTCACTCACGGGAAAAAAGTAAAAGGTACCAGTCAATTTTTTTCCCGAAGGAAAAAAGTAACAGGTACCAGTTAAAAAAAATTTCTCAAAGGGAATAATGTATAGATGGTGATGTTGAGATTTTCCCGTCACAGAAAAAAATAGTGTATTATACATGGGAAAAAAAGTAAGATTTTAGCGCTCGCTGTGTTGTCTCCTTCCACTTCGCGTCGCGTCCCAAACCACACCTCGCGCTAAAATCTAGTACTTTTTTCCCTTTTATAATAAATAACTATTGATTACCACCTCTCCTGTATTGTATTGTTTGTTCTGTAAGTAAATAGGAAATTTAATTTTTTTTTAACCTGCAAGGTAAAGTTTTGAGTGACGTTTGAATTTATTTCAGGGACCTAGGGGCCCCTTTTGTGAAAATAGCCCCGGGCCCCAAAATACCTTAATCCGACCCTGGTTCCAATAATATCTCCTTCCTTTATTTTTACTGTTTTAGATGAAACATTGGAAATTCTTATCATAATGTATCCATTTGTTCTTACCATAGTCTTTCCATCGAGAAATTTTTCTAGTTTATCTCCAATAAAATGATGTTTTAGTCCAACGCAGCACCCAGGGTTTGTTTCCAATTTGCCGCAAATGATCTTTTCAGTACTTCCAGGAATACTCACCGGGTTTGTGGCCAGGATCTTAACGGCTTGAGATCCTTCTTGTGTAGTTAGGACAAATTCTTCATTATCAAATTTAAGGATGTTCATAGGAGGATCGAAAGAGAAACCATGTTGGCCGATCAAATCCATTCCCAAAATAAAATCATCCTCCACATCGGCGAGGGAGACTAATGTTCTGTGCCTATTATAAAGGTGGTAGATCCGAAAATAAGCTCAACCATAGCTTCTCCTTGAACTGGTGCCGATTCGCTCGTGACTGTTCGTAGTGAAAAGATTTCTAGTGAGCAGTTGGATTGCTCGAGACTTGACTAATGTTTTCTAATTATAGAAACTTCAGCATCCGTATAAAAAGTGATGGTTTTGATGACTGCCCAACGATTTTATGTAAACAACCTTAGGGGCTTCGTCATTACTAACCAGCATTCGCCCCTCCATACTGGTTAGTTCTTGTTTCCTTGTCTGGTTATTAGGGCTGCCGCCTCTAGATCTCGAAAAACGTTGGGAACGATCCCTAGATGGAAATGACATTCTCACTCTACAATCTGGTTGAATATGTCCAATTTTATGACACCGCGGTAACATTCTACTCGGTTTCTTGGTGTTGGTGTTTGTCTGGAATCGTTCTTCAACCTTCTAGTTTGTCCATGAAATTACTCATAACATTCTCGAAGCTACCATCCTCTTTTGACGACTGTTTAACCTTTGGGTCTGGATGGACACCGCTCCTCGAATGCTCGGGCAAGGGCTTCGCTACTTTTTCTAAACTTAGACATTCTCAGGTTATCCTGCATCTTGGACTTGGAATCTCTGAGACCATCAATAAAAGCAGACACGTCGATAAAGTCACAAATTCGATATCTCCCTTGGTTTCCGGATAGAATTTTCTACAACTTACTTGAAAATTCACTATTACAGTCAAAATCGGATACCTACACAGTCACTTCCGGGGTAATTTACACACGAGTTTACACAATTGTTTAGGTCTATTTTTGTCACTGCATATAATTATGTCTCACTTCTGACTATAGCTTTTGACACCAATGACAAGGCTCTGGCATGCGTGACAGAAATCTTGGGTCCGTTTATTCAACAATTAAAGTCCAATAGCACAAAAGTAATTGATTCAACGTTACTATAACACTCTGACCCTAATTACTTCACTAGTTAACTCAATCAGCTTAACTCTTACAATTCTTACAATAGTCACCATCTAAATCGCATAACAACCAATTTTGAAAACTAAAAACTACGAACTAATCTCGGCCTTTCTATATCCGTAATTCATTCCTGTAAAATCCAGAAGAACGCAATGGTCTTTTCTCCCGAATAACGCAGTATGTTCTAGAATACAGTTAGGTAGGTATGTGATACTGTGCGCCCTGGCGGAGGCGCCCCATTTTCTTTACAGTACCTACCTATAGAGGGTGTTGTTTTCCATATCGACCTTAGAAAAGCATAACCAAATATTATTTTAGGTCCTGAAAGGAATTCACTAATTCAAGTTGAACGTATCACGGTCAATAAAGAGAAATTTATTCTTGGGGTTTAATAGTTAAAATTTTTGGGTCATTTATTGCGGGGATTCGCATAGATCCAGACCGAGTCCATGCTTCAATAGATTTTCCTGAGCCACGTGACAAAACGAAGCATCAAATATATTCAGGAACGCTCAATTTTTCCGGCCGATTTGTCCCTGCTTGGGATATTTGGACCCCTCTGAAAAAAACTATTGTTTCAGCGGACGCTCTTGCTTTTGGCATAGGGGCGTATTTGATGCAGGAAAATAAACAAGGCGAGAAAAAGGTTATTTGCTAAGCATCTAGATTACTGTCAAAAACTGAGCAGAGATATGCTGTGCAGATTGAACGAGAAAGTTAAGCTCTCACTATTGGGCTTGTGACAAATTTGCAGATGCACATGGGGAATTTAGGTTCCACTAGAGACTGATCATTCCTCCCCCGCTCAAATTTTGCTGAAGAAACCAGAAACCCATAGACGAACTGACTCCTAGACTATAAAAGACTCATGCGCTATGATTAAGCGGTTATACACTTCATTCCTGGAAAATATCTAGTAGTGGCGGACGCGCTTTCCGCAGAAACTTTCCTAATAACACTCCACCTGATTACGACGAATTGGTCCTGGAGACTGATATTTTTGTTAATTTGGTAGTGAAAGGTTACCACCATGTTATGTTATTTTGCTAATAAATAATACTTTTCGCTATGGGACTTCAACTAAATTGTATTCAATAATGATTGATGATATGTATAAACATCTAAACCAAGTCTATAAAACAACGTGACACGTTGCAACAGAGTTCCTCAGAACAGATTCTATCCATGGGACCACCACTGTGAATAGCAGGAATCACGTCCGTTCCAATTGATTTATATACCCAACACCAACGTGCGTAATCGCAATGGTGAAGTGAAACGCACGGGACAAAGCAATCAGAAGCCGCCAACAGTCTTCAGTGTTATTCTGCGGATCCCTCAAAAATGTAGTAATTGTATAGTTTATGAAAATTGTGCGTACTTACTAAATTATTTAAAATAATAATAATGATAAAGTCACCAGTAGGTATTGTCTTTGGAAAGTTGTTATAATATTCTGTACTTCTAATTGATTCAGAATTAACGGCAAAAGGCAGACGCAAACGTCCGACTTTCTACAAGAAGTTTAACACTTCGAAAACATAGGATCGTTAAAACCTGAACTTTGCTAAAAACTCTCATATGTACCTACTTCGCATAGGATGAAGTTTTCAAAAAAAGACATATTCCTAGTTACCTACGTTCCATATATCTATATTGTCGTAAATCTTTTACCTAGCCTTTTCTTCCTCTGATGGTTTGTTTATCTTGAATCTTGGTCTATGTCGGAGAAAAAACCTAGTACCTAGTATAAATTTTCTTCAGTAAACCTACTGATTCCATTTGATCGAAAAACTTCTTTGTGCTAAAGAAGTAAAAAACGAGTCTGGTTCGTGTAAGTACTTCATTTTAGGATCTTGAATTTATTGAAGACTTTTCCTTTAACGAAATGAAACAACTTCACCTTCATTATCTGAAAAACCGGATTCTGATATTATTGATGTGGTCATTGAATCAGGCATTAAGAATAACCCTGGTTCAAAAGAAGTTTAAATTTCAAGCTTATTCTGGAATATGAAACAAGTCTGGAGACTTTTTGTATATTTAGTAATTTATTGAAAATATCGAAAATAATTGGCCTTTTAAACTAAATTCTTCATGGATAAGAATTCAATATTTCTTCCTATAGACAACAATCCTTGGAAAAGTATTCTATAACTTAAACTTGCAAAAGTTAAGGCACCTAAGGTATTAGGGAGATTTTGGACCAGTGAAAACTGTCTTTTAATAACGATTCTTGTGGTTATTCCGATTTTGAGCATGCGCACTACTCAAAAAGGAAAGAGGCGGAGCTTGTAACGATAACGAAGGTACTTTATTTACGGCGAATAACTTTAGCGAATTTTTTCCCTATTTGACACTAGCGACACGCGATTTTCGACTTTATGCATTCGACAGCATAATGTTCTAACCTCAAATATTTTAGTTTGTTTAATGTGGACAATGGCCTATGTGGTTTATTTTTTTCTGGGCGAATTTTGTATTTTTGTTTTGATCAAATACAGGTTCGGGACTCGGGTTCCTCTTGAACTTGCGGTTGTTGTTGCCAATCAAAAACATTTCTCAAAATTATTTGTCGAACAAGATCTATGTTTTCTAGTAGGCCTCTTCTAATAACATTTTCTATATTCTCATTCATTTCAATTTAGCCAGGAAATCACACAAAACAAAACAATTTTACAAAATACAAACGCAGAAAAGAAAAAACAGCGAAAAAGAAAATCCCAAATATTTACTAAAAAGTTAGGTTAAACAACAAGATGATAAAATAACCACAAATATCGTTATTCATAAATCCACTCCAAAAACTCGTTTTTATTTACCTTCCGTTATCTTGAATGTAATTAAAGTTAACGAATATTTCTGTAATTTTTGATGTTATTTTCACTGGTCCAAAATCTCCCTATTGTGCGCGCAGCTCCTGCTGCTATTAACACTAATTTTTGCACTGAATCAAAAGAATTTAGAAAAATAATTACCTTTTTAGGAAAAAAAATATATTTATTAAAAGTTATTAATTGTTAAAAATATTCACAAACAGAAGCATTCATCTACCATTTATAACTTCCACCAACGTGCCAAGTTTCAGAATGTTTGCCGGGTCCTCTAATGGTTTGTTCATACCCAGCTCCAAAATCATGATTCTGTCCATGGTTTTGAACGTCAACCTTAGCATTGGTATTGCCCTGTCTATCTCTGCTCAAATCAGGTTTAACTTCCCAAGAGGGCTTCGCTTGTTGTTGTTGTGGGTTCTCAAATCTGATGCCACCGTCAGTAAATCTTCTGACTCTGATGAACTTTGGTGGATATTTTGGATTGTATGTTGGGTGAATGACTGGTGGTGGATTGTCGGGTCTGTAGATAGGACGAATTATTTTAGCTGGATTACTAGGGTCGTAGACTGGGCTGGGTTCAGGAAATGCAGTTGCGTACATGATGCAGCTGAAAACAAATACAGCCAAGTATGGAGTCATCTATAAAAGAAAAACAAATAATTAACTAAAAATAAAGGAAATTAATTGACAAGGTACTTAGGTATTTAACCAACAAGGAAATGAAGGAAAGGCCAAAAAACGTTTGTTCAGAATTCTCCTTTTCACGTTAAAAATTAATGATTGGGTTTTCATAATAATGATTTGTTATTCTTATTTCATAAAATGTAAAGAGTAAACTAGGGTTATGACTTACCTTTAATTATTATTTGGATATTTGTTTGCTTGAGACTGAATAGGTAATGATTTATTCTCATGGCCAGCCACCGACTCTTTATATATGAAAAACAGCCATTCATTCGGGCGGTATTTACCAGTCGCGGTACTTTACAGTTCTTGAGGATTTTACGTTTGCTTTGCGATAAGTCGTTTCGCAAGTCAAATGCCACGATCGTTGAACTGCTTGCGTAAAAAAAAATTGGTGCTGTACTTATTATTTATTGTTTGATGATTAATATTTCTGGTAGCTAATCTGAAATTTGGAAAAAGTAAAAAGTCTTCAATATTTGCTATGAAAATTGCAAATACGTGTATTTGTATTAAAAAATGCCATGCACGTTTTTTTTATGGATGAGATATCCCATAAAATTACCCCAAATGGAAAAATTAAATCGGTATTAACTGTTTTTAAAGTTGAGATTGGTTTGATTAATTATAATATCTATTAAATGTCAAAGTGTTGAATTAACAGTTAGTCGGAAACCTTTTATAATACTCGTTAGCGAGTGAATGCCCATGTTGATGAGTCGAAAACCTAGAAAATTTTATCATTTTTATGGAGTTAGTAGTAGGTTCTTGCAGGGTTGGACGAACTTTTGGAAGTGGACCGGGTAATTTCAGTCTAGCGGCCCATACATTGATGGATTTATGGGGCACATTCCCACACATTTTGATGTGATTCAATATTAAATTAACAATAGTGATGAAACAATAAATGCTGAATGAGAATGAAAACGCAGAATTAAAAATTAAAAAATAACTCTCATACTGATTATAGTGATTATTTGGTTTATTTATTTCAAACAATCACAATGATAATATAGGGCAATCCAACGACCTGTCACAAAGAAATTCAAAATGGAGGCCAATGCCTTTTTATTTAAAAAAAATGCCGCTTTATTGCGATTTTTGATTTGTATAAAGTCTGTAAAGTGATTTTTTGGAAAATGCATACGTTATGTATTGTACTTAGTGGGAGCCGTTCTAATCGCGAGAAAGTCTCGTTTCATGCCGTTCCTGGACAGACAAAACACAGGTTTTTAATGGAGAAAAACGATTTGTCTGTACTTTGTAAGGGCTTCATGGGACATGGATTGTAGCAAAAGAGAACAAATTTTTTCTCTTTTGATACAATCTGTTGATTTGATTTTGCTGATTTTAATTATTGAAGCGATTTGATTGACTGTAAAAAACAAGATTTATTTTCGAAAAATACAGAGTTGTTTTCACATTGGTTGAAGTCTATGTAATGATTAATGCATGCACCCGCTGTTCAGGTGGCGCAATTGTTCAAGTCTTCTGACGTCATACAACAGCGTTGCCGCGAGTTGGCGGAATTGCGGGATATCCTTTAACTGATATTCAACATACCGGCGGCCCTTGAAAACTGAGCTTTTCAAGTAGCTGAAGCTGTTTGGTACTTAGGTATCTAGGCATCAGTCGGCAGTAGACAAAGCTTCTGTACTGCACGTTTGTATACACCATTTGATGTTTGTATGGTAACCACACGGGTAACTCCATCTTCTCCTGGATGTAGTTGGATTATACGTCCCAGCTTCCAATATAATGCAGGTAAATTGTCGTCGATAATTAAAACCATGGATCCAATTTCTGGTTTATTCGCTTCAGGACTTGATAACCATTTTGTTCGCTTCTGAAGATTAAGTAAATAGTCCCTTGACCATCTCTGCCAGAACTGTTGGAACATTTGCTGCAAGGCTTGGTATTGTGTTAGTCTATTTCTTGGTAAGTCTGTAAGGGTTTTGCAAGGAATTGACAATAAGGGTGTGCCGATGAGGAAGTGACCAGGGGTTAAATAGGTTAGGTCAGCTGGATCCTCGGATAAGGGAGTGATGGAAGATGAATTCATTGCAGCCTCAACTTGTGCAAATAGAGTAACCAGCTGTTCAAATGTCAAATGGTTTTTCCCAATAACTCTCACGATGTGATATTTTGCACGTTTAACGGCGGCTTCCCACAAACCACCATGATGAAAAGCCCTAGGCGGTATGAAATTCCAAGTTATTGAATTCTTTAGTAAGTAAGTTGTAATATTGTTACTATTCGTCTCCCAATTTATTAATTTTGACACACGATCGTGGGAAAGAACAAAACACAATGTTTTTCTATGCAACGTTTCGTAGTTATATTACTACTTTTTCAAGCACTACAAAAAATAAAAACAGAACATGTATGTAAAATTTTCTTTTAAATATTAAAATTCCTACCTGAAAAAATTAGTGTCTCTGTACCCTCGAACTTACAAAAGTTTTCGTTTCAGGAAGAAAACAGAAAACATCATCCAAACACATAGTTATAACAATAGCAATAGGTAGGTACTTAAAATTTTTGAATGTCAACCGTTGGTCGGTTATTAACTACTGGTATGAAAGTTTTTGTGTGATGATACATATTGTTATTTCTTTTGCCCTTGAAGACTCTTAAGTGTCCTTTACTTTATTTTATGGACTACAAAATATATCTTCATTATTTATTAATAATAATTGTTCTTGATAATTATATTCGATTGTTTTCTACCATATAAGTATTTTTAAAAAAACAAAAATTACTATACTGTGGTTTCATGAGCACGAAGAGACTTTAATTTTAAGTTTAAGATCGATAAATGAAAATTTTAAAAAATACATAAAAACAATACCAATTGAGAAAAAATAAATGAAAAATAGACACAATACAAATAACATATACCGCACCTCAACCATCTTACTGGAAATTGAGACATTCCTCACAATCAAGCTGAATTATTCCTGGCAAATTTTTTCAAAATGTTTGTGTAAATGACACTTAAGCCCTGAGTGTCAGATCTTAAGTTAACAGTGTCATTCAAATTAATCTGGATCATCTCCCCTACGTTGCGTTTGTACCAATTGGGTTTTCTGTCCAATATTTCAGCTCTGTCAAAATGAAAGTTATGACCAGTTTCAAAATGATGGGTGGCCAATGCTGTCTTCTCTTGTTTATGCTGATTATGATTTTTACAATCATTTTTATGTTGATATAACCTGGTTCCCAAGTATTGCTTAGTTTGACCAATATAACACTTCCCACAAGAACAGGGGATGCTGTAAATTATATTTGACTGTTTTTCTAGTGGAGTGGGATCTTTAATGACAGTGTACAAGGAGGATGTTGTTTTTGTATTGTAAAAGGCCAGTCTTGCATTGGTTCCGTCGAAACATTTATTGATTTTCTGTGAGAGGCCATTGATAAAAGGGAATTTAAAATAATGAACATTTGGCTCTGGACTGCGATGATTGGTGGTGTTCCTTCGATATCTACTTATACATTGGTTCACAAAGCTGGTGGGATAATTGTTTTGTTTGAGCAAGGATTTGATTTTTAGGATATTGTCGTTGAAAAAGGAGGGGCGGCTCAGTTTCTCGGCTCTGTGAAGAAGGCCGGTAATTGTGCCTATTTTCTGAGATGCCGGGTGGTTGGAAAACCTACCAGTTCAGGAAGAATATTAAATTACTTAAGATCTGACACTCAGGGCTTAAGTGTCATTTACACAAACATTTTGAAAAAAATTGCCAGGAATAATTCAGCTTGATTGTGAGGAATGTCTCAATTTCCATTAAGATGGTTGAGGTGCGGTATATGTTATTTGTATTGTGTCTATTTTTTATTTATTTTTTCTCAATTGGTATTGTTTTTATGTATTTTTTAAAATTTTCATTTATCGATCTTAAACTTAAAATTAAAGTCTCTTCGTGCTCATGAAACCACAGTATAGTACTTTTTGTTTTTTTAAAAATACTTATATGGTAGAAAACAATCGAATATAATTATCAAGAACAATTATTATTAATAAATAATGAAGATATATTTTGTAGTCCATAAGATAAAGTAAAGGACACTTAAGAGTCTTCAAGGGCAAAAGAAATAACAATATGTATCATCACACAAAAACTTTCATACCAGTAGTTAATAACCGACCAACGGTTGACATTCAAAAATTTTAAGTACCTACCTATTGCTATTGTTATAACTATGTGTTTGGATGATGTTTTCTGTTTTCTTCCTGAAACGAAAACTTTTGTAAGTTCGAGGGCACAGAGACACTAATTTTTTCAGGTAGGAATTTTGATATTTAAAAGAAAATTTTACGTACATGTTCTGTTTTTATTTTTTGTAGTGCTTGAAAAAGTAGTAATATAACTACGAAACGTTGTATAGAAAAACATTGTGTTTTGTAAAGCTTTTCCCTTTCCCACGATCGTGTGTCAAAAGTAAGTTGTAATGTGGTGTCTTGATTAAATCAGGGATGGATTTCATAATTTCATTTAGTTCGTTATTGGTACCGGTAAAATTAGTCCCATAGTCCCATTGTTACTGTATATGGTTTTGCATAATCCGCGGCGGCTAACAAACCGTTTCAGAGCATTGAGAAAACTATCTGTTCCCAAATCGCCAACTGCTTCCAATTCCAAATGAACGGCCTTTGATGTAAAGCATATAAAAATGCAAAGATATGCCTTGACGAGATTGCGATTACGTAGTTTTCCGTCTTTAATTAGAAATGGCCCGGCAAAGTCTACTCCGGTGATATAAAATGGTTTATTCACCATGACTCGATCAGCAGGTAATTCGCCCATTTTTTAGACTAACCGCCTAGGATTTACCCGAAAGCATGTTATACAATTCCTTACTATGTTGCGTACCGCCCGGCGACCTTGAATTAGCCAAAATTGTTCACGCAGTAAGGCCAGAATTGTCAAAATACCGGCGTGTAAGTTTTTATGGTGCTCATTTAAAATAATAAGTCGCGTTAGAGGGTGCTTAGAATCGATAATAA